GAGAGGTGGCAGCCGGACACAAACACCTTCCACATGCCGTTTGGAGAGATTTCGATCCTTCTACACGATGTGCATCACATTCTTCGCATACCGGTTGACGGAGAGTTGATGGGAGATGAGGCGTCGCCGGATACTCTTAAGTCAGACATGGGTGGTCTAGTTCGACTTTCGGTGGATGCTCAGGTTGGTGGTAAGTGGAAGTCTAAGTGGTACGATAATGGTGCTATGCATGCAGAGGGATTGTTGGTGCGTGGGGGAGAGCTGAAGATTAAGGAGATGGAGGTGCAGTGTTACCTATTTGTGTTACTGGGATCCACGCTTTTTGTGGATAAGAGTCGTGATCGCCTTCTTCCTGCGATCAACTTGTTTCTGAAGGATCATCGACGATTGACTTATTACGCTTGGGGAGCTGGTGCACTAGCCTATCTCTACAGGCAGTTGGGAGTGGCCACACGAGCGGGTAGTAAGGGTCTTTGTGGTTGTTTGACCCTGCTTCAGGCTTGGATATATGAGTACTTTTCTCTATTCCGTCCGAGCCAGCTGCCGCAGTCTCCGGATGCACCTCGTGCTTCCACGTGGATTTCTCCCCGTTTGCCAGGTGAGGATGAGGCTAGACAGAGGTTAGCACGTTATCGACAGTTGTTGGATGAGCTTTCAGCTGATGATGTGACCTGGACTCCGTACGGACGAGATGGCCACACAGATATACCTCGCTCCTTGTATACTGGCCCCATTTGCTTTTCTGACATTGCCGAGGGATACGATCCTGCACGTTGTCTGCGCCAGTTTGGATACCGACAGATTATCCCCCGTGCTATGACGGTACCACATGACCAGTACCGTCCGGCTTCCGGCAACAGTTACATAGTCTTTTGGGATCCGTGGGTGAATCAGTTGTGGGATAACGTGGCAGCCCATCGTCTAGATTTGAATTTTTGTTCTCGGCCGTGCGAGCACCCATCAGTGATCGTGGAGGAGTACGTTGACTGTGACGATTGTGATTTTCATTTTTCATCGTTTGTAGTTGAACTGAGACGATTGTGATTTTTATTTGTCATCGTTTGTAGTTGAACTGAGACGATTGTGATTTTTATTTGTCATCGTTTGTAGTTGGATTGAGACGGTTGTGTTTTTTTTTTTACAATAGAGACATTCAATGCATTGCTAAAATAGTTAATCAACATGGTAATTACTAAATGTTTCAACAATAGAGAGTTATACAATTCGTAAATATACTTCCAATCGTCATGTAAGAAGAATTGATCCCACCCATTGACACTAGGGTCATGAAAAATAGGCCAAAGGCCATTAATTGGAGGCATGGGCACTTGACCATGTCGAAAATCAAGTCGCACCCAATGATCCCCCGTAAAATGTAGTGATAAGATCCCACTTGGTCTTGTTACTCCTGGTGGGGCCGTCACAGGTAGCACGGTATAACGATCGCCTTGACTGTATACAACGATAGCCCATGAATGCAAGGTGGCGAAGACGAAGAGTTCCGCATTATCCATCCAGTTGGGAGGTCCACAGCCACTTGTTGATGCCCACCTGCAACGTCGAATGCCATTTTCTATTCCATTTGCTATTCCATCATAGTAGTCTCTATAAAGCTCGGGACGGGATTCAAGCTCCTCTACAACAGCGCGTCTCATTTGTGGCCAATTCCTTTGGTCCCCCGTAACTGCTTGTGATATAGCTCAAAATCCATAGTGTCCATCTGGAATAGGGTTGAACCAACCACGAACTAGTCGTTTCACGTAGGATTCCAAACAGTGTAGCCATGGGTAATTCTTCCAACTAGTATTCTTGAATACCTACAGACAATGAAGAACAATTAGGAGACTACTAAAACTTATGTGTGTATCAATGAAGATTTATTAGGAGACTAACCGTGTCGACTGCGCCAGTAGATGATTGAAGCCACTTCTTGAAGGAGGAATGGGCAGCTTCAACCCTATTAGAGCTTGTGTTACCCAAATGTCGCAGTTGATTGGTATAACATTTAGCCCACATGTGTCTAACTGGTAACCACTCAGCTGTCATATACCCCCAAAGACGTCGGTACTGTACTCCCCAACTACGTCTGAAATTGTCTAAGGCAGTATCCATGTCTTCCACTGTCAATGCATATACAGCACGTTGCCAAGACGCCATGATATGATCCACTGTCGGTTTGGCTGCATCTATACCACAATGAGTCGTCCTTCTCACCTCCGCTAGACACTTTGCTCTCACATTCCTATCCATATGCCAAAGACATAATATATGAGTCGATGATGGAAACATTACCCCCACGGTCTCAACCAATCCTCCTGCCTTGTCACTGACAAACACATCTGGAACAATGGGGCCAAGAAGATGTTGCGAATGCGTCAGAAGCCACTGGTACGACTCCTTCGTCTCGTCGTACACTATTGCAGATGCAATGACAAAGTTCAATCCCACTGGTGTCATGCCGACAATCTCAACCCAAGGCATATCATACTTATTGGTCTTGTATGTTGCATCTATCACGATCACATGGTGCCAAGCTCGCAACATCACCACTGACTGAGGGTGGGCTAGGAACAAGTGTGTAAGCACGTTACGATCGTCCATATACTGCACATAGTAACCCTTCTCCTGCGCCACGCAGAAAGTATACTGTAAGGCTGTCATCTGACCAAGCTCTTCTTTCCTTATCTTTTGCAACCCGTTATAAATCTGCTTTTTGTTGTGTGTTCCATTTGCACCTTTTCTCTCATTCACTGCCTTGTGGATATTCCTTGGTGGGACACCGGCTGATCTCAGCTCTCTGATGTATTGCTTATCCTCTGTAGTCAAAACATTCATTCCCTTTGATCCCTCCGAAAATATCTCCAACTGATGATTGTGGAAACCCAAATTAGCACCAGGATTCTTTGTATTTGCCACCCCTAGGATCAACCAATATCCATCACCTGACCGCTCAAGCTTGATCTGAAACTCGCACCCCAACTTTTCAGTAGATGTAAGAGGCCTCCTTTCCTTACTCGGATCAGGTTCCTTCGACTTCTTCTTCCTACCATGAGTGCAATGTAAGTAATGTCGCCAAGTACCTTCATTCTTATGTTTTTTGTTCGATGCCCTCACCAAATAAAACCCAAAACCCTTGGCAATCTCAGTAGCTGCTTCATATGCTTGCAACTCCGTACTGTATTTCACGCCATCAATGAAATCCGAGGTGTAATCATGGCCATCCGGATTGTAACTTCCAATATCCTGCAATGTTATCAGAATTTATAAGTGATACCCTACAAATTTTAAAAAAACTTAACATTCTATATTGTCAATTTAACGAGTACCATATGATAAATTTAAAATTACATAACTATATTAAATTTAATAATCATCATAACTTCATATGCGAATCTATTATTTATGCAATAAATTTAATCTTAATTTGTAATGTAAAATCTAATCTTAATTTTCTAGATTAAGACCAAATTAAATCTAATCTTAATTTAAGGCCAAATCTCATCTTAATTTCTAATGCTAAATCCTTCAATTCCAAAAATAATTATGCAAATAAATCTAGAAAATTATATAAATCAAAACCCAACAAATTATCTCATGGAACAAATCATAAATCATATAAAAAATAGAAAATACTGATTTGAAAAAAAAACCATAAAATGTTGAACCGCAGGTCACTTGCGGTCCAGCCATGGTTCAACCGCAGGTCATTTGCGGTCCAGCCATGGTCCAACCGCAAGTGACTCGCGGTTCCCATTTTTTTTTTAGTTTTTCAGTTAATGTATTTACCTCGTCGGAGTCGCTACTCATGATTCAGACGTCCTACCGACGATATCGACTTCAAAATGACGATGATGGATTTTTCTCTCCTTAAAGTGGTGTTTGTTTGATAAAGGGAAGGTAAAGAAGATAGGGGGTTATAAGTGTAACTTTAATATTTTTTAGGGCTACCTTTAGCAATTTTAAGGGCGACCTTTAGCAACTCCCTAAAAATATCCACCTAATCCAATCCATTTAAATCCAATCCATTTGATCCAAATCCAATTGTATTGGTGGATTCATGGATTGATACATGGATCCAAATGATAAATTACGGTTTGGTACCTATACTTTTTATATTTTACATTTTGGTAGCCAAAATTTATTTGTTATACAAAAAATATCATTGAAAAATTACGTTTTGGTACCTAAAATTTTTTATTATGATATTTTAGTACCTAAACTTTTCACATTTTACATATTGGTCCTTGATTGAGGATGTCATTTGGATTCATGGATAATCCACCAATCCACTTGATCCATCCATGAATCCACCAATCCATTTGATCCATGGATCCACCAATTCAATCCACGAATCCATGGATCAATCCATTTGCCACCTCTAGTGAAAACTATTAACTTAGTTAGAATTTTATTGGCTTCTTATTGTTTCTCAATTATATTTGAAACAAAATTCATTGCAATGTTAAGGGATTTTTAAATATAAAATAAAAACCATCAAACTTCTTATCGGATTGGTTTCAGTCAAAACCAAATGGACAGCCCTAGTAACCACATGTATGTAACTATAACAACACCTTTTCTCATATTGATGATTGACTCAACTCCAACTACACATCCCCAATCAACGGTCAAGTATAACCGACGACCGGGTGTATTATAGGGTAAGCAAGTAATAAAATTTATCGTACCACGGGGATGTAAGCTTCCCTTACTTCAGGTTTATGGTTCGTTATCTAGCCAACCTAGGATATTGATTAAGAAAATTACTCTACCTTTAGGAGATAGACTCCCTCGGGATTGACCTAGAAAGGCGAATCGATGGATCGCTAGGTGCTCTATTCAACCTAGGGTTTCATATATTGCTAGGAGACTGATTGAATCAACTCTCTCGGGGATTACCCGGACAATATACAATAGGAGTGACCCGAAGATGCCAATAATGGGCTCTAAGGGAATTTTCTCCCTCCTAGGTCAAAAGCTCAATTGGCATGCTATGGAAACCCAACTCATGCCATTCATTAAAACATCCATCAATAATGTAAAATCATCAATCAAACATGGAATTTGTTACATACATCAACATAAAACCAAAACCTAGACCTAGTAGGATTCTTAAACCCAAGAGAAGAGGGATATTTTCTAGAGAGAGAAGAGAGAGATTACAAATTGGAGCACGAGATCTTATTCTAGGTTTGATTCCTTGCTTTCAAACCTGATCAATGCCTTCAATTAAACTCCAAGATCACTCAAGAACTCTCTCTCTCTCACTAGAACTCCCCTTTAGTGTTTTGGGTCAAAACCCTAGAGAGAGAATTGATTTATCCTCCAAAAACCAACTCTACTTTCTCTCTCCCCGTTGCCGTCTTTTTAGACAGCTCGACAATCGATTTTCACGGTCACTGCTCACAGCCATGATGTCGGAAGCCCGGTCGTGATCTCAACCAAAAACGCAAGTGACTGTTGTCAGTTTTGTCCGACTTCACGGTCTGTGGAAAATTTTCACGGTCCGACAACCATTAAAACCTTTAAGCTCGCGAGGCGCACGAAACCCTCTGTTTCGGCCTATCTTCACGCCCGACATGCAATTGTCACAATCGTCTTTTCTTCACTTTTTGGCACTTTTCGAACTCCAATCTTCCCGAAACTCGTCCTCGACCTTCCCACACGTGCTAGGACCTGAAATATACAAAAGAAGCACAACCTAGCGTAAAATAGGTTGAGAGACGATGATTTATCAAGTCAAACGATCGAGAAATGAGGGATAAAATATGTGTAATTAGACTCGACTCAATAATGCGTGCAGAGTATGGATAATTGCTATTTGACGCATTAGTTTTACACAATACACCACAAATCCCTTCGGGTATTTGACAATTGACGCTTCCATCAGACACGGAACAATATCATACCTATTGACGACTCAACAAATACCATCCTGAGAATTCCCAATTGGGCTGCACAGCACAATCTATCTGTTAATTGATTTTAGACTATTATAACTCTTGAAGGTACACCCATTAGGAAGCCATGTTCTATTTTTTTAAAGTCAATTAGCAAACATTTCATATTTAAGCATTAGCCATGATGACCGATCGATCATGCTACCAACTGCCGAGAAAAGGGTTTAACTAACATAACGGGGGGGACAGCAAAAGCCGTGTCCTTCCACAATGATCGATCTCTAACATTCATGTTTTAGTAGTCACATGTTGCAATGTTGCTACTTCAGCAACACTTCCATTAATTTCCTAACAAAGAACCAACTCCACAACTACCACCTCCAGCTTGCATATTTAGTTATTTACACCCCTCCCTTAACACCATCAATTGGCCACAGAAAAACCCACTCGAGAATAGTTTCGTAATTAAGTGACCAATTTGGTTGTCGTTGCTCCAAGAACCATTTCGAGAAACTTCCTTCCTTGGTGCCCGTCGGTAGGATTATGAGCCTGAATCGCAAACTCCTATGATTCCTAAGAGCAATATGGCTAAGAGCCAAAACTAACCCAATACAGCAGACCAAGGTTGTTAACCCCACGGGTCGACCCAATTTGACCCTGACCCGATGAGAAAAACGGACCACACGCAATTATTGGATCGACCGATACAATGTATCAGGTTGGAAGTCAAATTGTGTCATTTTTTTCTTTGGTTTGCGGAAAGCGCCTATTTTCCGATTTTTCTTTTCGCCTAACTCAATTTTTGGAATCCTTAGTTGAACATTTGAATATTGATATTATATAAGTGTATACATTTTCAGTATATGTTCGATCTAAGTACAACATGTTACTTTGATGTAATGTTATATGTTATTGCTCATATGTTAGATGAGATTTGATATAATTTATCAAAATAAGTACAATATAATTCCGAACTAAAACGGGTGACCCGTTATCCCTTAACCCAATAGCTCGACCGGGTCCGGGTCAACCCGCAAGTTGACAACCTTGCAACAGACATTCATATATCCACCCAGTCGCACCGACACAACCTCCATCAACTATGCAACGCATACATAATTACACAATACAGAATTCAGTCACTGAAATAGACGCTTTATTACTTCTACAATTACAGCAGAAACGTGTACGCATTGGAACAGTTCTACGCGCCCTCTTGAAGGACTTTATTAGCCGCGGAGAGAATAGATAGATAGATAGTACTTCCGTTTTCCAGATGAACCACACCAGGAATGAAGAAAAGCTTCGATGAAGAAGCTAGAGCAGAGCAACAATGGAGAACAACAATACCATAACCGAAATGAAGTGGACAGGTGAAAGAGAAGCAGAGTTATTATCAACAGGCTGGTATCCATACCCAACGGGAGGGGTGATGGTCGGAGTAGTACCACTAGTAGGATATTGACAGCACTGGACTGGTACAGTTGTGCAATTCAATGGTGGTGGTGGTGGTGGTGGCGGTGGCACAACATCTGAAGGATAAGGCAGCACCGGCGGAGGCGGTGGAACTCCGCCGGTTGGGTAGTCAAGCGACGGTGGCGGCGGATTGAGAGGGTGGCAGGCATAAGGGCAGATGGTGCAGTTCATGCAACCGGGAGGTACAACATCCCAGTTGGCTTTCCTACTGCCTAGACATTTCTGGCTAAAGAAAACTAGTACCAACATGGTAACGAGTAGGCCATGGTTTTTACTTCCCACCACCATGTTACTCTGTCGTCCCCACTTCATGATGACAAAAGGAGAGGACAGGGTACAGAAATTTTGGTTGGTGGTGGGTTCTGTGCAAGGGAATGTGAAGCAGCTGAGACAAAGGGGAAAGTGATGAAGAAAGTAAAGTACCTCTGTTTCCAGACCGGCCTTCTCTAGGGTTTTGAACCATCTTCTTGAAGAATCCATCCCATGGTTCGGCTCTTGTGCCGCATGGCAGACCACCTGTCAAGTTTACAGAGAAAGTGGCCTACAAGTTTGACGTAAATTCTTTCATTGTTGCACAAAAATAAAACAGGTGCGGATAAGTTGTACTTTTGGGGTTATCTTACAAGGGTAGAAGAAAGGACAAGACAAGCAGACGTAAAGATCATTAGATCATTCATTTGTTTTCTCTTACAACACATTAAGCAGAAGTAGATGATAACTAAACCGCTTTCTGGGGATGATCATCAGAACCCGACAAACCCAGATCCCTGAGATTTGAGTACAGATGACTTGCTGGGGCATTTGCAGCTGAGCTAAAGGGTATTGAGAGAAACCCCGCGTAATTGCTTTCCATCTTTGCTGAGCACAGATCAACTATAAGCTTGAAAAGGTCGTGGACTTGTGCGACTGGCTGAGCTGCGTACTTCTCGAATGGCATCCACTGGAGAGAGAGGGGGAAAAACAGCAGTTTGATTAAGTAAGAAAACCCCCTATTCATCAAGTGCAACGTTTGGCATTCTTGCCTATATTGAGCTACCATGGAGTGATTCATTCCACCATCACAAGTTAGTTTTGTAGATATCAGCCAAGTGATGTATGGTCTAAAAAGCAGCTAATATGAAACTACGAGTCCTGAAAGTGGAACTGACGTGAATTTACCTGGGCATCTTCGATCTCTAGCTCCTGCTTTTGAATCTGGGATGAAAGTGGACGCAGCATGCAGATGAAGAATAAATCTGATTTCTTGAAGAATACTTTGTGTGCTTCCCTGTGAAATAATTGCTTGAATGTGAGACGGCATATTGAGGTAATGTAAAACCAGTTTCAGCCAGTAACCCAACTGCTCTTTTGAGTGAAATGTCGCTATTTAAGGTTCAGCATATAATTCAAAAGCTGAAGACATGTTGGCCATCAGATGCATGATTACAGACCTGAATGCTAGAATCTCCAGAAACTCCGTGTCAATCTGACGAATAGGAAACAAAACATGCGAGCTATCAGAGCTGGTAATAAAACAGGAACGTACAAGGTATGAGGACCGCTGACAACTTACCCCAGTTTCTTCCTTCACTTCTCTAATCGCTGCAGTGAAAATGTCCTCACCCTGCAAGTGGAGAAGTGCTTATTTGATTGGGTTTTGTATTTGGACCACTGGGATTTGAGGAAACAAAACCCTTCAAGGAAAACCAACCTCATCAACAACTCCAGTAGGGATTTTCCATATTCCTGTTCCCTTAAACACGCCACTTTTCTCCTGCACCACAAGTACCTAAAGAAAGGAGGGCTAGAATATTGACGGTGATTCTCAAATATCGCAGAAAATACGACAAACCGAAATGAAATGACAAGTAGTACATGAGAAGCACAATGTCTTCGGGCAAGGGATAAGGTGCAGTAATGCATTTTACTCGCCAAAATATAAGCTTCATGTAACTGGAAGGGAAGATTAAGTTAAATCAAGTACCTAAGAACTACTAGGAGAGTAACACCAGGACCTCAAAGATCAAACCGGACTAGAAGAGCTAGCTGAGACAACAATAAGGTGGGAAGCAAATTAAGTACCTCCTTTTTATCATTGAAGACAATGGCACCAACACCAACTCTATGCGACGCATTGGCAGGGATGGTGCTGGGGGTTTCAGGTATCCAGTGAACAAGCATGATATAATCTGGTTCCGCATGGTGATACTTAAATCCTTCCTGGTTCAGTAAGAATGACAGACCACGAGAAAATCAATTACTCATTCTTCCATTGTCAATCGTGAGTGAAGTAATTACTTCGGAGTTCATGATGGTCTCCATGCTTTTGGGCTTTGGCCTATGATAATCGATCTCGCATGTTACCTAGAACAAATGTGGGAATATAAAAGCAGAAGCAATTACCTTGACAGCAGGTTCAACTAGATTTGTAACTGCAATGGGAAGCTTTATCCAGACTCCCTTTTTCCCCTGAATTCATAGATCATTGATACCAATTACAAGTGGTAAGCAATTCATGCCATTATAGAGCCTGGACTATGTCTGTAAATACTAAATAGTTTATGCATAGCGAAGATATACTAAGTAGCAAGCAGATGTCATAGGATACTTGAAAGAACTGGTTTAACATAACGATATTTGCCGTATCGTTTTTGCATCACAACTGCTTCCCTGAGGACTTTTCTCCATCATTTTCTGCACACAATCTTAAAGCACATCAAACCTTAATCTCCCTAATCACGTTTTTAATTCGTTGTTCATACGATTCAGCGTCTAAATGGTTTACTAGACGACGCCTATGGCTAAAACCCACAGGACATACAAATTCCAAGTTTTGGAACTCGTAATCACCAGACAGTTCCCCACCATCACACATTCACAATGCCTAAAGAGCTACTAAAAGAGAGTTCCTCTAACCTGCTTCTTCCAATGTGACATGGAAGCCACAAGCAAGGTATGAAAGAGAGCAGGATCCATGGCCTCCACAACATTCACAACCACGCCTCCATGAACATCATCTTTTGCAGGAAGTATCTCAACATCTTTGGCTCCATTCGCAACGATGGAGTTCATCGAAACCGACATAGTTCCAGCCACAATCGGGGTTGCAAACTGCCGAGAACAAATAAGAATCATGAAGTATGCATCAAAATCACAAACTGGCGCGAGCAGAGTTTCAAATTCCAATCACAAATACAACAAACATATTACGCACACCAACCCTCCAACAACTGAGAATTCAAATTACGAAACGAACAAACACTATCTATCCAGTTTTGGGAGCGGCAAAATTCAAACCGGAGATCATGGAATTCGAGAGAAGTTCAATCTCCGCTGCCACTTACCCGCACGATCGCCGAGGGTCAGGTGAGAGTTCTGAGTGTGGAGCGTTCAGATGCAATACTTGTAGTAATACTACAATAGAAGCTGCGACTGTGAAGGGCGCGGGATGACGCAGTTGTGGCGCCATGGGATGACTGAGGAGGAGTACGGGCAGACGTCAGGCGGGACCGCGATGTCGGATGACCGACGCGGACGCCCACCGGCGGATAATGATTGAAGTCTCGCCGGCCACACGTTTGGTAGGTGGTAAAGCAAAAGCTACTCGTGAATAACTTTAAACCATTCAATAGTGGGCCTCGGCGTGGGCTTGGTCACTGGATGGGTCATTTTCAACCATTCGGATCCCTTTCCTCTCGGAATGGCAATGGGTAGGGTTGGGGTGTGTTTTGTCAAATCCAAATTCAAACCGATGAGTTTATCCACCAAAAAAATCCGAGGTAAAACTCGTTGGGTTTGAAAAACTCAAATTCAACCCAACCCGCTGGGTATCCGCGGGTTCATAAGTACCCGTGGGTTTTTGTGATAAAAAATTTACAATAACAAGTTTCTTTCAAAATAAAAGTTTAACATCAATTTTCTCATACAAATTATTCATACAAAAAACACTAATCTAGAGCATACAAGTAAACCGCAAATGATCAATATAAGTTGTTCAAAATTAAAGATAAACATCTATAAACCACAAGATTAATTGAAAGTTTCTTCCTCATCAACTAAGTTTCTTCACTCTCCACTCCATAATATCAACTTCATTCTAAACAATTAGAAAGAACAAATTATACATGTCTCCACAAACATAAAGAATATTACTTGTTTAAGGAAGATATATTACTTAGAATATTAAATATACCGGAAAAGTAATTATATGTGTGTGGGCGGATACCCATGGGGCGGGTTTACCTAAACCCAAATCCAACCCGGTGAATAGTGTAGCGGGTTTAAACCCGAACCCGGCCCAAAACCCATCAACACGGATTTTACCCGCGTTGACCGGGTTGGGTCGGGTGGGTACCCGTGGGTTCGGGTTTTGTTGCCATCCCTACTTTCCTCTTATCTCATTCAACCATTTGACCTTTTGACACCTTCGATGTAAATTAATTCCATGTCGACGCCTACTTTATTTTCATCTTCTTCGCCTTGTTAAGTACTTGTATTTTTTTAGCATTACATGCCCAAGGTTGTCAACCCGCGGGCTGACTCGGACCCGGTCGAGCTAGTGGGTTAAGGGTTAATGGGTCATCCGTTTTAGTCCGGTTTAGCCCGAAAATATGGAAAATGTTATTATATTGTACTTATCCTGATAAATTATATCAAATCACATCTAACATATAAGTTATAACATATAATATTACACGAAATAACATGCGCTACTTAGATCCAGTATATAGTGGAAATTCACACAGTTATATAACATCAATATTCAAATGTTCAACTTCGAATTCCAAAGATTGAGTTAGGCGAAAAGAAAAATAGAAAAATAGGGCAAAGATTGAGTTGGATGAAGAGAAGGAAGCATGGAAGTCTTCGAAGAAACCTCCCAAAGATCGTTTGAAGACTAGTTTGCTGTCTTGGGAAGAATCTTGAATCTGAATCCTGCTCGGATGAGGATTAGGCCTTTGTTTGGTTTGTTTACGTTTGGTTATTTGTTTTAGAATCTTTCTTTGTTCGAATGTAGTTAGGAATCGTGTTCTCTAGACTAGGTCTATTTAATCTTGTTCTTTCATTGTAAAAACCCAAATTTCGAGTTGCAATTAAAGTACAAACCCTAGCCGGTTTTGAGCTTGAGTTTGAGAACTTCCTAGAGCGCGTTCTGGGTTGTTTGGATTGCTTGTATCGATCAGTCGCCATCCTGATCGTGGACAAGCCTCAACGATAATCTTCGAGCCTCATTCCCGCGTGAGGGTTGCACGAGATTTCCACCTAATTCACACTAAATTTCTTCTTGTTCGAGTCTTCTTATTGAAGCAAGGGCTTAATCCACTAACTCTGATCATGAGAGCTACTTTTGGCCTCATCAAGTGGCATCAGAGCCTTGGTTCAACGCAGTGGACAGAACGGCGGACGACGTTGCTGCAACAACGCGTTGGACGAGGTCGAAGGGCCCTGTGTACGACGACCCTGTCGCATGGCAACTGAAAACAGAGCACACGTCACAGGTCGAGAGCAAGGATCACTCGATCCAACAAACCATGGTTGGACATCAGTTCGACATGGAGGAGTTTTTGACTCAGATTGACGCCAGATTCCAGGCTCAATTGGGCCAATTGAAGTGCGAAATCGATCAACGATTTGACGCAATCGTGCCACCGGAAAACAGAGCACAAGAAAGGGAAGTTCGAGGCGACGAAGTTCCCGATGGAAATCCGGCGTTGGCTGATCGGATTATGGAGCTAGAGCGCCGCCTGGTTGTGGTTGAACCCAATTGTGATCGCCACGCTTGGGAACGGCGAGGCAACCGTGACGATGAACTAGCAATTCCCCCTGGAATTAAGCTATCCTTACCCACGTTTCAGGGAAAGATGAACGCCACGACTTACCTGGACTGGGAACGCAAGGTCATTCTGTTCTTTCAGTGTGGACACTACACAGAGCAACAGAAGGTGGCCTTGGCTACTTATGAGTTCAATGATTACACTGCTCAATGGTAGGAGCAGGTTCGCCTTTGTCGGCGACGAAACTTGCAGCCAGAGGTCACAACGTGGGAAGAATTGCCTAGCCTGATGCGAGACCATTTTCTACCCGCCTACTTTCAGAGAGAGATTCACGAGGCGCTACAAGGAGTTCGACAGGGAGGCCGGACTGTCAAAGAGTATTTCCGCGAATTGGAATTACTCCTAATGAGAGCTTACGTCAGGGAAGATCGAGAAGCGACAATCGCTTGATTCCTCCATGGATTGAGTCAAGAAATTTGACAAGAGATTGACTTAAGGTCTTTTGTTGAGCTGGAGGAAGCGTTGCATCTCGCGATCAAAATCGAGAAGCAATAGAGATCGTCAAGGAAAATTGCTCCGCTGACCAAAGCTGTAATCGAATCGGCGGCAGATTCCAGTCCGTCTTCGATACGGATGGAAGGTCCTAAACCAGCAACTCAACAAAATCCTTCAACCTCATCCACAGGCGGAATTCAGTGTTTTAAGTGTTTTGGAAGGGCACACAAAGCTAGCCAATGTCCTACTCCCAAAACTCCGATTCTCAAGGACGGCGAATATGTTACCGACGGTGAACAATCGGACTCCAGCGACGGGGAGAAGACTGACGAGAACATTGAGGTGGAAACGCCTAATGGAAAATTGCTGGGAGTCAGCCTCAGAGTTCTTACGGCAGACAGTTCGCAGGATCTCAGTCAGCGGGAGGTCCTGTTTCACTCGCGATGTGAGGTGAAGGGTAAGTTGCTGACACTCATCGTCGATGGAGGAAGTTGCGCCAATGTCATCAGCCAGGACGACGTCGACAAGCTCACATTGAGCACGATGAGAAACCCAGACCCTTACAACCTACACTAGCTCAAGGACTATGGAGCAATTCGAGTCACTAAGCGAGCTAAAGTGAGTTTTGATATTGGCGAGTACAGGGACGAGCTGGAATTCGATGTGGGTCCTATGCAGGCATCTCACATCTTGCTAGGCAGGCCCTGGAAATTTGATCGGGGTGTCAGCCATGATGGGAGAACTAACCAATATAAGGTTCGACACTAGGGAAAGGTGTTCGTGTTGAAGCCATTGACGCCGGAGGAGGTGCGAGGCGACCAACGACACATGGTGGCTAACCAACGACGATCAAAAGGGAAGTTTTCTGATGACCCCAGTCCTACACTCCTTACCCGACGCTTTATGCTCACCGGGTTCAAGAAGAAACAAACCTCGCGTCGACGACGGTGCTGTGTCTCGCCAGAGCAGTGGAGCAGAGAGGGTCTATTGGCCAGACCAGTGGAGGCCGATTCGAAACTAGAGACTAACGCCAACACGTCCCAAATCCTCTCTAGAAACTCAAATTGGGGAGCGAATGGGTCGAAGTCAGCTGGTCTGCCGAATCAAATCCGATCCGAAGGTGCCCTGAAAACTGATGAACACGAAGAAAAATCGGGTGAATGGGTTGGAGAAATTGGAAGGGCTTCGACACAATCTACCGCTACAGAACCATTTGTCGAGGTTCTAGGAAGCTCTCAAGCCATTCAATTCGGTCTTAAGATACCTGTGTCCAAAACGCCCAAATGCGCGTTTGAATATCGACAATGACGGGAAAGCTCCAACCCTCGAATCGACGCAAACGATGAAGAGTCGAGACCTGACACTGACCCATAAATTTGATTCGAGCCTCGACAAAGCTAATGGTGGTAGGCAATTGCATTGGGAATACTGGGATCAAAATCCCCAATTTGGGACGTGAAGAACAACGCCCTAAATTTCTAAAAATGGCGGTTTGAGGGGGTCTCTTTCGATCCAATCTGGGATCGCTTTGCTACAGCGTTTGAGGAACGAAAGATCATAGCTTTGAGGTCAAAGCTTTTTCAACAGGGGGGCTTGATACAATCCTTAATTCCTCCGTAAGTCATTCAGGATTGATCGTTAAAGATTCGAAGTTAAAACATAAAATCTGCCCAAGTGTTTTTGACAATTTCAAGTACCCACTTTGGACGAGCCTAGCTAGCTATTGGTTTGATGGAAATTCGAGTTCTCGGGCTTGTCTTGAAGAAGGAGAGTTACTCTTTCATTTGGTGTACTTTGGAGCTCGAGGGGAAGTCCAGAAGCTGGTGTTTCAGGTCACTCAAGATGCTATCTCAACACTGGGAAATTTTCCAGATTTGACTTAAGTATAGAACCGTGTTCGAGCAAGGTACTTTGAGCTTTAATTCGAAGAGGTTGGGGAAGAGTCGAAGCCAGAGGAATGCATCACATGAAAGCTCGCATTTCCTTCTACGGCGTCAGGGAATTGGATGAAGAGAAGGAAGCATGGAAGTCTTCGAAGAAACCTCCCAAAGATCGTTCGAAGACTAGTTTGTTGTCTTGGGAAGAAACTTGAATCTGAATCCTGCTCGGATTAGGATTAGGCCTTTGTTTGGTTTGTTTACGTTTGGTTATTTGTTTTAGACTCTTTCCTTGTTCGAATGTAGTTAGAAATCGTGTTCTCTAGACTAGGTCTATTTAAGCTTGTTCTTTCATTGTAAAAACCCAGTTTTCGAGTTGCAATTAAAGTACAAACCCTAGCCGGTTTTGAGCTTGAGTTTGAGAACTTCCTAGAGCGTGTTCTGGGTTGTTTGGATTGTTTGTATCGATCAGCTGCCATCCTGATCGTGGCCAAGCCTCGACGATAATCTTCAAGCCTCCTTCCCGCGTGATGGTTGCACGAGATTTCCATCTAATTCAGACCAAAGTTCTTCTTGTTCGAGTCTTCTTATTGAAGCAAGGGCTTAATCCGCTAACTCTGATCACGAGAGCTACTTTTGGCCTCATCAAAAGTGGGTCAAACCGCAGGTCGACCCGCGGGTTGACAACCTTGTACATGCCAGAAGGACCTCCGAAGTTCTTATTCCAGCCCCAGGTTAATCACAAACCACACGATTAGTTCTTACTGATTGCAGTTAAACCAATAAACTCAAAACAATCAATATTACTAACCGCAACCAGATAAGGGCCTTCTTATTCGATTTGCGATTAACCACAAAAACACATGATTTCAGTGCGATTGGCCGTTTAACAGCAAAACCACAGTAGTATTGCCACCCCGAGCATGCATACGTAACAATTTCCATCCCTGCCAGAGCAAAGGGATGGTTTTGAGAGGGAAAGAAACTCGACCGTAAGCGGGCATCTGAGAGACCAGATCAGTGTTCCTTCACGTTTCAATGGCTTCTCCTATTGGGACATCTATCCAAAACCCATCTCCTTTCTATCAAAATTGAAACACATATAGCAACTCAAGCTTCCATCTTTAAACATAATAACGCACAAGGCACAACATAAGAGACCAACTCGATTTGAACCCCTCTGTACAATTCCTCAGCCACTAGACCATTAGTCGTTGAGAATTGACAGTACCCACCAAAACATATTAGAAAAACAAAAGTGTAAGAACACATAACGACACAACTCTTAACTCTCCTACAAGTTGGACTCGATATCACCATCACTGGCATACCAAATTCCAGAGGAGACCCAGAAAAGGGGGTTCTCTCTCATTCCGAGTCTGATGAGTCATGCGTCTCACTCTGTCTAACGCTCCTCTTTGTTTGATTTGTAGACTTCGGCATTGAAGATTCGCCTTCGTAGAAGATGACTTGAGCTTTAGCCAGCCTCTCCTCCAAAACATCCGTGGTAAAATCATCAGTTCCACCCAGCTGATCAAAACCAACCTGCCAGGATTCCGTACAAAACCAAATTTAGGGGCAATGAAACTATGAAAGTAATCAAAGGGATGGTTTCTTCAAACCCACTCCTAAAGAATCTATATGAAACATCATGCAAGAACAACGCACCACGTAATCATCAACTTTGGCTTTCTTTATGAGGGCAAGGGTAGGAAGAACAACAATCTTGAGTTTATCAGCCAAGAAGGGGCTTTTCTCTGCCTGAATCTTCACAAATCGTGTCTCTATGTGCTGCTTCGCAAGCTCACCGAGATGCTTGTCCATTACCTGCAAATGAACACAAATATGGACCGGATTACTCATCTACCAAATTTCCAGAGTAATCAAGTATCTGCTGTCTCACAGGCAACGACACTGAATGGCTACTATTTCAAGTGATATTTGTTTGGTAATGAACCCCACACACTGCTCCACAGACAACCCTAAAGAACTTTTATCCCTATAATCAACCCCTAACACTTGCACAAGCAAAATGAAGCCTTGGAATTCTTGGGGTTGAACAAATTAGAGAACCCAACAAGACAAGGCAATCATACCGGGGGTAAACAATAGATTTTCCAAGCAAAGCTCGTGATTTCCTCGAGCAAAAAGCAGTGCCTTTCCCAATCCTTAGGAAAGCTTGACGCTTTCACAATTTAGTAATTTACACTACCACTGTGGAGTGCGTCAGAGAAACTCAATTGAAGACTAGCTCAGAAGAGATTCGTAAGAAACAAATATCACACATGGTGAAACAGAGCTCAAATAGCACATATCTATGAAATTTCCATCACCAAAAGAAGGGAATCCGAGAATCTGCAATCCCCATTTGCCTGCTAATTCTCGTATAAATCTAAAGCATGCCTCAATTCAAATCCTCGGGCTTGTCGAAATATGATGGGTTTTTTACCTTGCAAGGCCAATTCTCGCGATAGAAATGGCAAACAACGCGATCGCTGGCTTTGACGACGGAGAAGAATTCCTTCTCGGCGTGGATCTCGGTGTACTCACCATGACCTAGAGAGATCCAGCGCCTACGCTTCTCGGCCATTTTCTTCATCTGCTGCAACCTCCTCTCCCTCAGCACCTCCAGATCGTCTTCGTCAAGCTTATCGAGCGCCGCGATCTCATCGTCGAGCTGGTCCTCCACGGCCTTGACTACTGACAGTACTTGCTTCTCCAAAATCTGGGATCGGAACACAACAAAGAAATATACGCAAATAAGAAATGTGACGAGTTCCGCGTAAGGAAGCGTGATGGCGGCATGAGATGTACTTCTTGAACTTTGGAATCTGCCATTGCTAGGGATTTTGGGACGATCTTGTCCGCTCTGTTGATTCTTTGCGCTGGGAATTCGCCGTCGCGGTGGCAGTGTCCGTTGGGAGAGAGGGAATGCCGCGGAGAGGGAGGGGGGGATTTGATTTGTTTTCGGGTTAGGGCTTTTTTAGGTTCAATCTTGCTGAGGGAGGCAGGGGAGGAGGATTTGGATTTTTTATTCTTTTGTTACATTTTCAATGGCGTGGCTGATAAACTTTTTAAATAATGCGTTGATCATTGACTACTGACGATTAATTTCAACTAAACAGATTTATCAGTACATAATCGTCTTATCTGAAAGAATGAAACACATGATAATCTCGTTGAAGTTTGAAATTTCTAGTAGTGTTATTAAAGGGAATTGATAAAGGTCGTCCTAACAATTACTAATGATCGTCCTAAAAAACAACAAAGTTACACTTTTAACCTTTTGACATCTTTACCTTTCCTTTAGCAAACAAACACCACATTCACTTAGAAAACAAAAAACACTCATTCTCCCACACTCTCGAATTCATCATCGACATTTGGAAGCCGAAATCGTCGAGCATACGTCCGAACAATGAGTAGCGACTCCGACGAGGTAAAAATCTCGTTTTTTTAAAAAAAAAAAAAAACCCAACCGAATGTGATTTTCGGTTGGTCCATGGTCCAACCGAAATTTGGTTTCGGTTGAACCATGGACCAATCAAAAATCACATTCGGTTGAGCCATGGATGAACCGAAAATCTGCTACGTTTGTGCCATGGGTGAAACGAAATTTTTTTTTGGTTGGTCCACGGTGGCACCGAAGCTTTATTTCGGTTTGGCCATGGTGAAACCGAAAATTTGGTTAGGTTTAGCCATGGTTGAACCGAAAATTTGCTTCTATTGGTGGTTTTTGGGTTTTTTTAAGTTTATATCAAATATTTCTATTTTATTGTTATCATTTATAGTTTGGTCTATAAGATTGTTTATTGAATTTTAGTTTATATTATTTTTAAAATTTATGAGCCTAATTATTTGTGAAATTGATTGTTTTTGTATACAAAATTAAGATTAGATGCATAATACGCAATAAAAAAATTATAGAATGTGATTAATATGATTCATACATTAGATGTATAGTATGTAAATAATAGAGAATGCTAAATTTTGTCGTGTTAAATGTTGGATTTTGCTTAGGATAATATAGAGAATGCTAAATTATTTGTGATAATTATTAAATTAAATGTAGTCGTTAGATTTTCTATTATTGTGGAGTCCTACTTATATCATGAGATCTAACATTGTAGGATATTGATGATTACGGAGGGGATGGCAAAGATTACACCTCAGAATTCGTCAATGGAGTAAAATACGATACAGATTTGATTGCATATGCAGCAGCTACTGAGATTGCCAAGGGTTTTGGGTTTTATTTGGTGAAGGCATCAAATAAAAAAAATCCAAGTGAAGATAGTAGGCGACGATACTTGAAGTGCACTCATGGTAGGAAGAAAAATTCGAAGGATCCTGATTCTGATCCGGCTAAGGAAAGGAGGCCTCTTACTTCTTCTGGAAAGTTGGGGTGTGAATTTCAGATCAAGATTGAGCGGTCAGATGATGGATATTGGTTGATACTAGCAGTGGCTAATAGAAAGAATCCTGGTGCTAATTTGGGTTTTCACAATCATCCGCTTGAGCTATTTCCGAATGGATCAAGTAAGAGGAATGTTTTGACCGAAGATGATAAGCAATACATCAGACAACTGAGATTAGCCGGTGTCGCCCCAAGGAATATCCACAAGGCAGTGAACGAGAGAAAAGGGGAGCATGGAAAGGTGAACAAAAGACAGATTTCTAACGCATTGTATAAGATAAGAAAAGAAGAGCTTGGTCAGAGGACGGCCTTACAGTACACTTTTCAAGATGCTCTGGAGAAGGGTTACTATATGCAGTATGTGAATGACCGTAACGTGCTTACACACTTGTTCCTAGCCCACCTTGAGTCAATATTGATGTTGCGAGCTTGGCACCATGTCATTGTGATAGATGCAACATACAAGACCAACAAGTATGAGTTTCCATGGGTTGAGATTGTTGGCATGACACCGGTGGGATTGACATCTCTCCAAATGGCATATGGAAGGTGTTCGTGTCCGGCTGCCATCTCTCCACAAATGCCGTTATCAAAGCTGTATCTAAATGCTGCATCATACAGCCTGCCAAGTGGGACAATCCTGTGCCCTCAACCACCTTCTGAGAACCCTCTGAACTCCACTCATACCTCCTCAAAGACTCCACAGTACCAGATCTATGACAACAATCCAACAACCCACGATCCTGTGCTGGGGAAGTCCACAGTGCAAAGGCAATGTGACCTCCAAAGCTAGGGATCACATCGGGAATCACAGGTCCACCTGAACACATCTGAGACTCCGATGTCAGACGCCACGACATGTCCCCCCTTACTCCCTTCTTCCTCTTCTTACCATCACCGTCTTCCTCACTACTACGTCTCGCAACGTAGCGTCCATCTAGCCCACGCTGTGGAAAGTGCGAAGAAGCTGTAGAAGATGTCCCAACTCGTCTCTTCTTACCGATGCCTACATCAGATTCAGGTGGGGCATCCCCAACCTCATCAACAACCACATCATCATCATCATTATCATCATCGTCGTCGTCGTCCATAGAAACCGAATCACTCCAATTAGCCTCCCACGGCGTCGCATCCTCAGGAGTAGGGGTGGAGGTAGTACTTCGACTAAGAGATAACTGTCCCATAGTAGGGCGACCGTCGGGACGCACTATTTCCGCCTTCTTCTTCTTCCCCTTAACCTTACGTGGATTTTTTTCTTCATTTTCTTTTCTACCGGTCGCTGTAAGTCTACAAGCACGACCTTCCATTCTTCCTTCCGTTTTTTCTTCCATTCTTTTCTTATTCATGTACGGTTTGCCTATTCCATGTCCAGACATCTTCAAAAAAAAAATAAGATTTACAATTAATGATAATCAAATGCATTAACATTTTCTGATAATTTTCTCTAATTTTTTTAACTTTTTGATAATTTATTATTAACATTAATTACAAAATTCTTAGTCTTTTTGTCTAATTTCAACTACTTTTTAATTTTCCCATTATTCTAATATTTTTGTAACATTAATTACAAATTTATAGATTATATTTCTAAATTTTGATACTTTTTATAAATTTCAGATAATTTTTAATAATTTTTATTACATTATTCAGAATATTTTTTTCATAATCATAAAAATATTCGAATTTAATTTTTATAATAAATTATAAACCGTACAACTTATTTATAATTGACTACAATTATTTCTAATTATTACATAATTCACAATATTTAATAACAATTTTTATTAATTAATTGAATTAAAATTATTTAAAAATCAACCAAACCGAATGTTGACTTCGGTTTGACCATGGCTCAACCGAAGTCTTCGTTCGGTTGCAGGCGATGCGGAACGCGGAGCTTTACCTTCTTCTCCGGCGAGCACGGACGGCAGGCGAGAGGAGGGCTGACGGCGACGGCTGGGCGACCACGCGACAGCTGGCGCTGGGGGCGAAGACGGCGACTGCTGGCGACGACGCTGCGCGACTCCGACTCCGGCGGCGTGGGTTGCGGCGGCGGACGACGCTGCGGACTGACGCGACGCCGACTCCGGCGGCGTGGGTTGCGGCGGCGGACGACTCCGGCGGCGGACGACTCCGGCGAGGGTGGGTTGCGCTGCTTGTTGTCGGGGGGGGGGGGGGGGGGGAGGGGGGGGAGTTGTCTGTTGTCTGTGTCGGGGGAGAGGAAGGGGGTAAGGGGTTGTTTGCTTAGGGTTTATTTTTGAATTTTAGAAAGGGTAATTCAGTAATTTACGTATTAAGTTAGGACGATAGTTAGTAATTTTTAGGACGACCTTTAACCCTTCAGTTATTAAACCTTACGGCTAAATTGGAAGTTTGGTTACCAGAATTACTTAAAATATTCACGTTTGTCACTAAAATTAATTTATTTCATCCATAGTCACTTAAATTAGGTTAACAGTTCAAATTTGGTAACTCGTTGTTAGTCTTCGTTAAATTTTACTGATGTGACGGTCAACTCTTAGTTGACCGTTAAATAAGTGACGTGACAATTAAAAAATAATAAATAATACAAATATAATTATAATTATTTTTATTTTCTAGCTAATTATTATAAATTAAAAAAAAATCTTAATTCTTTTAATTATTATTTTCCACCACCAGCAGTTGGATGCTGAATTGTTCTCCGTCCACCGCTCCTCCGTCGCCAACAGAGCTTCCTAGGTCGTCTTCCTCCTCAAAACATCCTACAACTTAGCTCAATATTTTCGTGGTTGTCGATTCATCGGTGTTGACCATGGGTTACAAGTATTGGTTACATAAGTGGTCTCTAGCTGTTTAATTTCTGCGGATATACCGTGACGAACATCGGATTCCGGAGAACTTCAATAACGATACATTCAACTTGATCTGCTCATACAATCATCTACATAACCATTCCATAACCAAGGTCCAAGAAATCTACAGAAGGCAAAAATTGAAAGTGGGGTTGAATACCCGACAAACTTTTGTAAGCAACGAAAATCTTATGCTTGCTACATGAACAAGCTAAATTAATACTGATGAACAACACGAGTATTTGCAAATGAAAAATCTGATCTTTTTTCTTTTCTCTACACATTAGGTTGAGAGATCAATACAATTGATGGTTTCCAATCAACTACATTTTCACTTGAACAACTCATCAAATTGGGAAAAAGAAAAAAGAAAAGTAGTCAACAGTTTCCTACAGTTTGGCGATAGGCGTGTTTGATTCAAGCAAATGGCGCGTCTTCTCTGTGGAAATTCAAGAGAGACAGTAAAGACTTGGAAATATCGTGCTCCCTCTCTCTATCTCAATTTTGATGTTGATCCGACCTCTGTTATTGTCTCTATATATGAAACAGAGCTTTTGTTGCTCTGTTTTTTTCCAGGAACTTGCAACCTTCTGTTCGTGAAGGCTTGGTCCAAACGAGAAAAGATCGTGGCTTTATACAAATCCAACTACAAGATTTTTGTTTTCCCTTGTAAGAACCCTTCTAAGACACAGTTTCATCGTCTATTTGGGAGATCCTCGTCAGAAACCGTGGACGACCTAGAAGCTCTGTTAGCGACGAAGGAGCTGTGGACAGAGAACAATTGGAAAATAATAATTTACGTGATTTGGCTTAGTTTACGTGATTGTGATGGGAGTAAAGCTCCCGGCCCGGACGGATTCTCATTCGATTTTTACAAAAAAGGCTGGCAATGGTTGAAAGGAGATATTTTGAAGGCGTTTCAGGATTTCTTTGAGTCAGGATTTTTTCCGGATTGTGTCACACACTCTTTTGTGTGTTTGACCCCCGAAGAAGGATGTGATTGAGGACATAAAAGACCTAAGGCCGATAAATCTGATCGGGAGCATTGACACCTTATATTCTGTGAGCCTAAGCATGATCATGTATTGAATGTGTTGGCTACGATTGTCTGCTTCCAAGCTGTGACGGGATTAAGGATTAACCTGGAAAAGTCTGTTATGTACACGGTTGGGGATGTGGCTGAGCCTAGTTACTTTGCCGCCATATTTGGATGTAAATGGAGCCGAGACCCCCCTAAATACCTCGGTTTTCCTTTAAGGGCCAGACATAATGATTCGAGCATTTGGGACCCGATAATTGATAAAGTTCAAAAGAAACTAAATGGTTGGGGGAGTAGACATCTTTCAACTGGAGCAAGGTTAGTCCTCTGTAAGGCTGTTCTGACCAGCATGCCGACCTACTGGTTTTCCCTTTTTAAAGCTCCTGTTGTGTATTAAAAGAATTGGAAAGAATCATAAGGAGATTCCTCTGGAATGGGACAGCAGATACAAACAAGATGGCCCTCGTCGACTGGAAGCTTTGCAAGTGTGAGAAGGAAAGAGGTGGCTTGGGAATTCATGACTTGAAAGCTTTCAACGAGGCAATGCTATACAAATGGTTGTGGCGTTATGCAACAGAAAGAGAGAGTTGGTGGCGCAAGATGATTGAGTTAAAGTATAGAAACCCGGTCTCAATGTGGCAGACTACAAGAGCCAGGGGAGGGTTTTCTCAGTCAGTTTGGGCGAATATTTCTAAAGGGTACGACTCATTTTGGAACTTCGCGTGTCTGGATCCTGGCAATGGTACTGAAGTTTCATTCTGGCACGATAGATGGACCCCAGGAAGAGTGTTGGCAACTTCGTAACCTCGCGTTGCTGCTGCTGCCGCTGACCCGGAAGCAAAAATTTCCAACTTGACGTCTCATAATGGTGAGTGTTGGGTCACACATTGAGCCACGCGGCCCGTAGCCCCAGAAAGCACTCAAGGCCCACAAAAGAACAAACGAGGCCCAAAGGAGGATCAGGAGCAAAGGCAGCCCAAAGGATGCTAGTACTAAGGGACCGCCCGGCACATAACAGATCTGACGTCAGGGGACTGCCCGACACTCTGGATCCTACATACGAAGTCTGACAAAGACGTTGAGGAATCCAGAGGCGTCTCAGGGCGCCCGACATAACATTTAATGCACATAGCTCGGACGAAACTAGTATAAATATCCCTCATAGGATCACATTTATGGTAACTTCAACTACTCCAATCTCTCTCTTATTTACAATTCTCTCAATCCTCTCTCTAACTTAGGCACCGGAGGAGGTCCCAGGAACCCCCTGAGGACCTTTCTTGTAGGTTTCGAAGACCGCTCGCCGCCCTTGGAAACCGCCCGAGTCCGTGGAGCTTCACTTAACCGCTTGGTACATTCCAAGCACAAACATTTTGGCGCCTACCGTGGGGCCCCACGACTTGGTTGCGGTGAAAAATGGGAGATGAGACCCCTCTCAAAGGGATGACAGAAAACAACACCCTTCGAGGCCTCTCGCCGAGGATTGAAGACGAATCGGAACTCGAGGAGGTTGTCAAGAGTCAAGGCGTGCAGATCACAAACATGCAGGACAGCCTCTCCGAAATTCTCCAACTTTTGAAGACAAGAGAAGACCCCGCAGACGGTTCAAAGGGAGAATCGCGCAAGGACAAACAGAAGGCCGCCCTTATCCTCGACAGCCCTGCTCGGACAGAAGGCGGAGGACAAGAGGTGGAAGAGGTAGACCTTGGGTTTTTGGAAGAACATTTGCGGTCAACCTATGGGAAGCACAAGAGCCCCACTGTCCTCCAAAACCCATTGTCGCGGGAACTCTTCAAGACCCCAGTCCCGCCTAATTTCTCGTCCCTGGGTCTCCCCACGTACAGCGGGATCTCAGATCCCGCGGACCACCTTTGTGCCTTCATGTTCAAGATGCAACTCATCAATGCGTCCGACTCAGACCTGTGTCGGGCGTTTCCGGTCACCTTCAGCGGCCAATGTAGAACGTGGTATATCTCCCTCCCAGAAGGGATAATCGAGAATTTTGAGAAGTTTGCGATGCTCTTCTCCACGAAATTCGCCTCCTAAAGGCGTCGCAAGCTCACCGTGTCCGCGCTTATCAATTGCCGACAAAAGAAAGAAGAATCGCTCGCGGAGTTCTACGATCGATGGAATGCGATCTCGTGTGAGATACAAGGCATCTCCTCGGTCGTAGCCGCGGGCAACCTCAAGATCTCCACGACCAGCATTGAGCTCAAGAGGACCCTGATCAAAAAGGAAGTCGCCTTAATTTCGTGGTCCGACCTGGACCAGTTGGTAAGACGCGCGATACTACTAGAGGAGGCCCTGGCCAGTAATGATCGTAATCAGCAAAGTTGCACGCGGCCCAAACCACAAGAGCGTGGCGAAACCAGACGCGGAAGGCGCTCTCCCGAACGAAGGAACTATCGCAACAGATATTCAGAGTGAGATGGAAAGAGGGAAGTGTTCTCCACTGACCGGGAAATAGGAAGGGAAAGACGAAGAGGAGGAAGGAAACCCGAGGCTTCCTCCGCACAAGAGCCACAAGATGGGAAAAAGTGGTGCGACTGGCACCAAATGACTACTCATGACACCACCGAGTGTAGAGAGTTCAAGGCAAGCCTCCGGTACCTGGCTCCGGGAGACCTTCGGAACCGCCTCGAAACACGGCGGCCACATCGAGAGCTTTCCCAAGAAAAGCGAGAGGACTCCATCAGCCCCGAGATAGATAAAGCAAGGAGGTCAAGGAAGGAGCGATCAAGAACGCCCCAAAGAAACAAGGCGGCGTCACCACAAAGACAGTCTCCCAGCTACCGGCCGCCCCGAGGTGATGAAGACGGGATGGAAATCATAACTATCGCAAGCGGTAGGAAGCGCCTCCGAACCGAGGGAGACCGCCTAGCCCATTGCTTAAATGTGCAACGCAAGGTGTCAACTGATGTCACCTTCCTACCATCCGAGCTGGCTAAGGAAGAGAATTCAGAAGATCCACTGGTCGTTTCGTTCAGGACCGCCAAGTTCAAAGTCACCCGCACTCTCGTCTATAATGGAAGCTCCGCCGACATCCTTTTCTACTCGGCCCTCAAAGGAATAAAGAAGAGCGTCCAAGACCTCAGCCCCTCCAACACTAGCCTGATAGGATTTTCCGGAACCAAAGTTCTGTCCTCGGCTCGATCACACTCAAAGTCACCATAGGAGAAGGGGGAGTCACAAAGACCAGGCCAGTAGAGTTCCATGTGGCGGACTTCCCTTCAGCATACAATGCCATACTCGGACGCGGTTTCCTCGCCTCGTTTGAGGCAGTCGCATCCACTTGTCATCAGATGCTTAAATTCCCCAGCGGGGGACAAACAGGACGCGTCCGAGGAAACCCAAAAGAAGCTAAAGAATGCTACCAAGCGACCATCGAGCACCTTGAAGTCGACCTCGTTGACACAAGAAGTGATGTCCCAAGACCTGAGGCGGTCGAAGGAGATATAGCGGTCGCTCTAGACGTGGAGCGACCAGAGAGGACGGTACGTATTTCCGCGCATCTCGCCGAAGAAGAAGCCCAGAAGCTGCTTACACTCCTCCGAGAGTTCCAAGACCTCTTCGCATGGGGTCCGGAAGATATGCCGGGTGTTCCCCGCAAGGTCTCCGAGCACCGCCTCTCAGTCAAAGCTAAGGCGCACCCAATACAGCAGCGAAGAAGACATCTATCGATAGAGAAGCAAATGGCACTAGAAGAGGAGGTGCGCCGCCTTCTCAAGGCCGGATTCATCAGGGAGGTGAAATACCCCACATGGCTATCAAATCCAGTCTTCGTATGCAAAGCCGGAGGCTCTTGGAGGATGTGCATCGACTTCACCATCCTCAACGCGGCCTGTCCCAAGGACGCATACCCTCTCCCCCGCATCGATCAACTCATAGACGGGACTGCCAACCACGAAGTCCTCAGTTTCCTTGATATGTTCTCCGGGTACCACCAAATCAGAATGGCGGAAGGCGATCAAGAGCTCACTGCTTTCATGACCCCGATGGGCAACTTTTGTTATGTAGTCACGCCCTTCAGGCTGAAGAATGCGGGGGCAACCTATCAACGAATGGTGGATGCGGTCTTCAAGGAACAAATGGGAAGAAACGTAGAAGCATACGTCGATGACGTCCTGGTCAAAAGCAAAAAAGCAAGCGACCACCTGTCAGACCTGAGGGAAACCTTTGAAACACTAAGAAGGAGAAGCCTAAGGCTCAACCCGCTCAAATGTGTCTTCGGCGCCGAAGCGGGAAAATTCCTCGGGTTCATGATCACGAAAAGGGGCATAGAGGCCAACCCAAAGCAAATCGAGGCCATCCGCGGTCTGAAACCGCCAAAGACCATCAAAGAGATCCAAGCATTCAATGGAAAAATGGCCGCGCTAGGAAGGTTCATCCCATGATCTGCTGACAAATGCTCTCCCTTCTTTCAAATGCTTAAGAAGTCGGCGTCAAAGCTCAAGTGGGGCGCCGAATGCGACAAAGCCTTCCAGTTGCTGACTGACCAACTCAGCAAACCACCAGTCTTGAGCGCCCCTATCAGCGGAGAGCGACTTTACCTATACTTGGCGGTCTCCGAGCAGGCCGTGAGTTCTGTCCTGGTCCGAAGGGAGCAAGATAGCTCCGACCGACCCGTTTACTACGTAAGCAAGGCGCTTCTTCCCGCTGAAACGAGGTACATGCCCGTTGAGAAAGCGGTTCTCGTCGTGGCCTCCGCGGCCAGAAAATTAAGACCATACTTCCAAGAACATCCCATAACGGTGCTGTCACACCTCCCTCTCAAAAGCATCATGAGAGGCATGGACGCCTCAGGTCGGCTGACCAAGTGGGCAATTGAACTGAGTGAATACGACATCGAATATGCCCCAAGGCTAGCCATCAAAGGGCAAGTACTGGCAGATTTCATCGCCGAAGGATTCTCCCTCGAAGCCGCACCCTCAGAGGAGCGCAATCAAGTATGGCGCCTATTCATAGACGGCGCAGTTGGAAAGACCGCCTCAGTGGCGGGAATCATCATCGAGTCACCCGAGGGGGTAGTACACGAAATCTCCTTGAGGTTTAGAGAGACCAAGACCAACAATGTTGCTGAGTACGAGGCGCTGATCAATGGGCTCCGAATACTGTCCACCCTAGGGGCAACTGATGTGAATATATTTTCAGACTCTCTCCTGGTCGTCAAACAAGTACTTGAGGCGTTCGAAATCAAAGATGAGACGCTAGCAATATTGGCTACCAAGGTGCGAGACTCCCTGTCTCAAATGACTTCGTGGAAAATCGATCACATCCGA